GTTTTTTTAATCTATTATCTCAAGTATGTGAATCGTGGATTACACTAAAATATGGGAGGAATATTGGTGATGTTAATGTCATCTACTATTTTGTGTAATTTGATTTACTTAGATCGGATAAGAATTTGAATAAATATTGTTAAAAGAGTTAGGGGTGCGGATCACACACTAGTTCAGCGATATTACAAATTCATAACGAGAGTCTAGTGGGGATGGTGGCAGCACCCGGTAGCAGGGTCCAAGGGGCAGATTTCCTGGTCATGACAACTTGGGAATTTTTCATTTTTGACAATATTGCTTTGTGAAAATCTTTCAAATTTTTGTGAACGGATTCCAAGACGTTTAGAAATCGAACATATGGATTTACATCCAAAATTGGCCAAAAAATTGCAAGCAACTCTTTGCGCAAATGCTTCTTTGTGTGAACAAAAGTGTCTTCTCATGTTTTTTCAGTTTCCATAAATAGAGATACGCTGGTATGGTTGAGGAATTGATTTCGAGTGCTTGTTATTAAATTAACTTCTTATTTGATAAAAGTATTTTGGTATGTCGTGAAATAACTTTGATTTGAAAGCTTTCTATGTAATTTGTTATAATCTATCAAGTCGTTAATCTCATTCTTCATTCAGCAGAATCTTTAACACTACTTCACAATGTTATTCTTGATATCTCGAAGGGGGCTAAATGTCACCCAAACAGATTTGTAGAACACACACAGAGGAAACACTGAAACGCACAAGATGGAGGCACGAAGTTGCTGCAACAAAAGTTATCGTGAAAGATGACTTAGGCTGTGCTGTAACATCTTTTGTGTCACTAGCGAAAACAATAACTAGAAAAGCAGTAAATGACACACAAGATGTTTACGCAGTTTAGAGTAATTGCTTCTACATCTACGAGGCCCACGTCTGTGTAACAACCCTTAAACTAAATCACTATATATTTTATACCTACAAAAACAATAAACTCTATCTATGTATTGACATAAACCTCTTACACGTGATTTGAGGACAAAATGTGTTTGCGTTCAAATCCTTGGCTTGTCACACCTTTTTCAAGATCTTTTTCAAGGACGTGCTGTTGGCCTAGTTCCAGAACATGAAGGATAAACTTTTGGACCTCACAATGAACTCACGTTCATATAGTCAAGCATCAGCTCCAAGATAAATTATAATGTGATCAAGTTGCGAGACCTCATGCTGATATACGATTAGGATGACATGATTTTTATTCTCACCAAAACTACTCTCGTATATGAATATTAATCTCTTGGTTTTTATGATCTGTTTTTTCAAACACAAGTGAGTGGGATACGTCGGCTTTTATACAAGAGGAAAAGTCCTAGTAGAGTTTTAGTAGGAGTCTCTTGTCCAGCATTACTTTATCCACAAGCTTTGCGTTGACTAAGCTTCACTGTGCTATAGCAAATCAGCACTCTATAGGAGAAAGAGTCATGAGCTTGTTGGGAAGTAATTGTAGCATGTACTTGGACTCTTCTAATCTTTATCAGTGAAGAACATTTCACAAGAACTCGGGCTCCTTGCAGCTTGAGATGATGGACATGATGCTACAACTTTATACTAAGACAAAACGACTAGATACAAAAAAAACTTTCTACACTTTTTGTTTTATCAAAAAATAATGCCAATAAGGGTTATACAACTCAATACTTTTTCCGACATCATGTTTTTGGATGTTTGACTTTGACCGACTCAAAATTGATTAAATTGACCTTTATTCAAAAAGGTTCCCATATTTAATTCATATTATTTATTCTCATGATTTATTTCAATAAATCATTTCAAAGTTCACATCATAACCAAATTCTCTATTTATTCTTAATTTGGGTCTGTACTCTAGTTCCCAATCATGATTACACAAATAGTCAACATATTGGATTTATCTCTATGAGATTTATCCAGATTGTGATATTGGATATTAAAACATATTTCATTTCGGCCCAAAGCCCCACAATAATTTGTTTTAATCTAAACAATTTTGATTAATTGAATAATAATTCAATAATAATTTTAGGGTATGTTTTGGGGCGTTACAGATGCGTCATCATGAATATTCTTTTGTACTTGATCATCGACCATAACATTTATTGATTTCATGATGGTCTGCATTTGTTTTTTTGTATACCCAATAATATCCAACAAATACGGCTTCATCACTTTTCCAGCTCAAATTTTCTCTTTTGATCACGATCTCTTTGGAGGAAACACCTTGTCCCAAAGATATGGAAGCGAGCTATGCTTGTAGTCCTCCCTTTCCAGAGTTCATAAGGTGTAGCCTTGGTGTTGCTTCTAAGATACACATGATTTATGGTGCAACATGTTGTGTTCAAAGCTTCAACCTAAAGGTTTTGAGGTAGATCAAAAGTCTTGATCATAGTACGTGCCATCCCCTGAACATGCTTGTTCTTCCTTTCAGCCACTCCATTTTGGCGAGGATTATTTGGTGCATAGAATTCATGTCATATGCCACGCTGATCGCAAAATTCTACAAAATGCTTATTTTAATATTCACTGCCATGATCTCTTTGAACATGAATGACCTTTTTAATGTTGAGTTGCTTCTCATTCTTGACCTTGTTACATAAGGCGGCAAAGGCATCTAGTGTGTCATCTGTGTTCAGGAAGCTCACTAATATGTACCTAGGGAAGTCATCAACCACCATGAGAACAAATTATTTCCCTCCAATGCTCTAAGTTTTCATGGGTCTAAACAAATTAATATGCATGAACTCAATAGGATGTTTAGTTTATCTAGCCAGCTTCCTTGGATGGATGTTGTGAACTTGTTTGCCAAGTTGACAAAGTCCACAGATGTCATTCTCCATTTTGATGTTTTTGGCAATCCTCGAACAACTCCGGAGATGGATAGAGTGGTCAGGTCTTTGTAATTCATGTGACCTTGTATGTAGTGCCACAGTATGACATATCTCTCGCTAGTAGAATAGCAAAATATGTTGGAACTAATTTGTAGCAATTATCTATGGTTATGTCACGTTATAGCACAACCAGGTTGTTTCTATCCTTCACACGATACTTTTGCTGAGTGAAAGTTATTTCGAGTCTTTGGCTACATATTTGATTGATGCTCAAGATATTTACCTGTAAGCCTTGAACGAACCACACATTTTTTATAGGTGGTAAGCCCGAGACACTGAGGATCCGATTCCTGATAATTTGATCATGTGCCCCATCACCAAACCCGACATTTCCTCCTTCCATAGACTGTAGATTTGTTAAGCTGTATTTATCCCCCATCATGTGGTGTAAGCATCCACTGTCTAGTAACCATTGGTCTAGTGTGACACGGAGGCATGAGTTTGCATAGGATGCAGTATTTTTGGGAATCAACATTGCTTGCATCTTTGTGTACCCCTTGATATGCCATGTTCTCCTTGTTCTTTTTTACTTTCAATTTATTGCATTGTCTCTTGATGTGATGCCATTTACTACAGTAAAAACACATGTAATTTGAATATGGCTTGAACTTTGCATACCTTTTTACTGTATGTTGATGTGTCATCTTACTCTATCTGCCCGCTCCTTGAACATTTCTCTCAGAATATGTCTTGCCAAGTATTTCAGTTTTAGCAAACACTTTCTCCTCTTTGTACAAGGCTTTTTCAGCCACTTTGGTTCTCCGACCAACAAATAGATTGAGAGGTGTTTTACTCGCTCCTGCTTCAGTATAGCCCAAACCTATTTTATCGCCATAAAATTTTAAGATATTTACTTGTCTCTCCATGACTTCAGCTCTAGCAGTTTACATCCATTTTTAGTAATTTCTAAGTTGTTGGAGCTCATACTTCAGATTGAACTTCTCTCCTTCAACTTATTCGAGCTTGAGTTACAGTTTATCAAGATTTTGCTTGATAGCTTCTAACTCTTATTGGGGTCGATTTTTTCTCCAGAATGTTTTGCTTGTAAATCTTCAAAAGCTCAATCCATTTTTCTTGAAGAACAAGAAGTTGTTTTGCTTGATCTTCATCATCTCATGCGACAAATGCGTAATTGCTTTCCCCTTCAGCACCTCCAGAATCGTGTTCATCATCACTCCACATAGATGATGAGGCTAGTTCCAGAACATCAAGGATCAACTTCTGGACATCACAATGATTTCACATTGATATAGTCATGCAGCATCTCTAGGATAAACTACAATGCCATCAACGAGACCGCATGCTGATAAACGATTAGGATGGTGTGATCTTTGTTCTCACCAAAATTACTATTGTATGTGAATATCACTCTCTTGGTTATCTTGATCTTTTTTAACCCACACCTTTGAGATGGAGACGTTGGCTTTTATACACAAGGAACAACCCTAGAAGAGTTCCAATATGAGTCTCTCATCCAGTGTTTCTTTATCTGCAAGCTTTGCGTTGGCTAGGCTTCACCGTGCTCTTGCAAATCAGGACTCTATATGAGAAAGAGTCTAGAGCTCGTTGGGAAGTAATTGTAGCATGGACTTGTACTCTTTTAATCTTTATTGGTGAAGAGCAATTCACATGAACTCACTCCTTGCAATTTGAGATGATAGACATGATGTTACAACTCTACACTAAGACAAAACAGCTAGATAAAAAAATAATTTCTAAACATCTTTTGTTTTGTCAAAAAATTAAATAATAACAACAAAAATTATACAACTCAACTACACCACACATAAAAGAAACAACTCATAGAACTAATAATTCTTCCTCCATATAAAAGTATAAAACTCCTACACCCTACCCATAACATGAATCGTCAATGCAAACGCATTAAAAACAAAACAAAACAAAATTATTCTCTCTCAATAACCATTCGACCAGGTACGAAGAAGCCTTTTTATCCTTTGAAAACAAAACAAAGGAAACAAAAAGTAATATGGTTAGGGAAAGTGAAGGAGAACAGCTGTAGAGTGAGGGAGGTGCAATAAATCATGACCGCTGCTTATTATCTACGGAGTATCTCTCTGCAGACTCAGATCTTATCCTTTCGGACACAAGTTTCGCACCCCCTCCCCCCCCCCCCACTCTCTCTCTACTGCAAATAAAATACACACATAATTATCTAATTTTTCTTGAATTTCCCAAACCGCTCCACCACCTATTGCGAGCCGAGTGGTACATATTTTCCGCGTCACCTGTTAATCTCAGACTGCAGTACTAATCTCTTATCTTTCGTCTTTATATACTTAATAATGGCTCAATCTTTATCCGACTGAAATTTCTTTTTCTGAAATTTCTCGTTTGGGTTTTTCTGTATTTAATGGCTTTGGTATCGGCTTTGCTTGAGATTTTCCAAAAGCCTTCGATTGGGGATGTTGTAGTTGAGATGATGGTGTTCGCGACGCCTATCTGGGTGGCTGTGGCAGTGGGAGTTGTTGTGGGATGGGCATGGAGGCCCAGATTCACTGCCTTCACCTCCATCCCTAATATGAAATTGCAATTTCCCAGATTCATTTCTTGGATTTCTGAAGAGAGCTCCTCACCCCTCCAGGCCCCAACCACCAGGTCAGTTATATATATTCTTCGTATTTATTGCTCGTATTTGTAACAAGGACAAATTGAAGTTCGGGTTTTGAAATCGTTCTAGCTGAGAGAGTGGGATTTGAATTGGGAAATATGCAGCGCATCGGTTCAGGAAAATAGAAATTCTGGAGCTGTTGATGAGAATGACCTTCATCATTTGTACCTGTTAGTTGAAGAGAAAGATGGTGGCCCTGCCTGGATTCCAATGATGGACCGGACTGCTGCGAACATGAGTTACCAGGCCTGGCGTAGAGACCCTGAGGTAGATACAATCTGGAGCTAAGATACTTCTTTTTAGTCGTATTTACGCATATATATCGTTTAGGAAGTTGCATAAATTCCTTGATGTTAATACGAATTCTGCTTTGGTAAATGATACTTCACTTTCTTTTGTTGTTGAACAAAACATTGATATTCTAGAAAACATACATAGAAAAACAGCCATCACCCAAGTCAATATATTTTGCTATGTTCATCTATACTCAATTCAATTTGACATGGTGTTAGACCGGACCCCCGCAATATCGGAGTAGAACTGTGTATGAGGATGCTAGCCCCGAAATGGTGAGGGATTTCTTTTGGGATGATGAATTTCGAATGAAGTGGGATGACATGCTTATACATGCTCAAACACTTGAAGATTGTCCTACCACTGGAACTATGGTGGTGCAGTGGGTACGCAAGGTGTGCCACTAGTTTGTGCTTTTGATTGTTTTCCCCTTTGAATCCACCTTTGATTGGATAATGCTCAAACCCCCCTTTTGCTGCAGTTTCCGTTCTTCTGTAGTGATAGAGAATACATTATTGGCCGTCGGATATGGAAATCTGGGCAAACATATTATTGTGTTACTAAGGTGAGCAAACATATTAAATGGCTGATTGTGAATGCTATTTCAAAGTTGAGAGATCATCAATTCGTAGTGACTTGTTTCAGGGTGTGCCGAATTCATCCGTTCCACGAAAAACCAAACCAAGGCGTGTTGATTTGTATTATTCAAGTTGGTGCATTCGGCCAGGTAATACTTTGTTGCATCAACAAGAGAAAATTCCATTTTTGGTCTCTCAGTTATAATGCTTGACCCTTTTTTACCTAGATGTTTAAACAACCTCTCTACTTTTGAGTAGGGGTAAGGTCTGGGTACACCCACCCTCTCGAGACCCGTGGGATTCAACTGGGATGTTGTTTGTCCCTTTGTTGTATAGTATTATTACTTCCAGAGAACGAGTTTAGTGAACTTTATGCCAATGAAACTGCAGCTGAATCGAACAAAAGAGAAGGGGAGAAGAGTGCGTGTGAGGTTATACTCTTCCACCATGAGGACATGGGCATACCATGGGAAATTGCAAAACTTGGGGTGAAGCAGGGCATGTGGGGAGCTGTAAAGAAGATTGACCCCGGTTTGCGTGCATATCAGAGGCATCGAGAAGCATTGTCGGATGGGGGCACGTTGTCAAGGTGTGCTTTCATGGCTCAAATCAACACCAAAGTGACGAACGATGAGTTGGAGTCACTGGGGAGAAGAAGTGAGAGTGAGGTAGAAGCATCTTGTGATGAAGGAGATAAGAAGCCAAGTGGAAGAAATGTGCCTAAGCTTCTCATTGTTGGCGGCGCAGTGGCGGTTGCTTGTAGCATTGACCGTGGCCTGCTCACCAAGGCTCTTATATTTGGAGTTGCCCGGAAACTTGCAGGGTTCGGGAAGAGGATGTAAAACCAGGGGGCAGGCGGGCAGGGGTATATTGGGCATTTCAAACCCCATACTAAGGTATGACTCCTCAGGATTTCCACTGGTCAAGGAAGGTGTGAATGATGGGCGTCTTCAACTCCGTACGTAATTGTTTGTTTTTTTTTGTTTTTTTTGAAAAGTTGGATCCTAAAAACGAGTGCTAAAAATCATAACAACCAATTTATGGGTCATTGTTCTGTATTTGATCATATTTAACACGTTTCGTAAAGAAAAATGAGACCGAGTAATAATACTAAAATCTAAAGGCTACATTTGTGCTTGGTGGTAGGAATTTTGACCCAAATATTGCATCTTTAATATAAGATGACTTTATAATTTTACACGAATAATGTGATTCTATTAGTCATAGATAACGGAAAGTATACGGAGTAGTGAATACAAAGTCATAGAAAGGTTTTCTCGTTGCAAATTATGATTTATTGAATTTATTTTTTATGACTACTCAATATATAAGAAAATCAAGGTAATTTTTTTAAAAAATTATATATTTAATTTTTACATTAAAAAATTATTTGAAATTTACTGAAGAATAATTGTTTTCTATGTTCATGTTGTGGAGTCGAGCCCCGTATATATACAAAGTTATCGGTCTCCTAACTATGGGAGAATACAAACAAGGAAATCCTATACAAAGGAAACTACCATATATAAATATATTAAATATACAATAATATATTTAACATGCTACCAACTACGTGACGGGCGATGGGCGGATGCCCAGACTGTGCCTGAAGTCGGAGAAGAGGAGAGAAGGTAGCCCTTTGGTAAAGATGTCGGCATACTAGGAAGAAGAGGGAACATGGAGAACACGGACCTGTCCGAGAGCAACCTTGTCCCTGACAAAGTGTATGTCAACCTCTACATGTTTCGTGCGCTGATGTTGTACTGGGTTGGTCGATAGATACACTGCACTAACATTGTCACAGAAGACCAGAGTGGTGCGGCGCAGAGGTTGCTGTAACTCAAGAAGAAGATTTTGGACCCAACTTGCCTCAGCCACGGCATTTGCAACTGCTCGATATTCGGCCTCAGCACTCGAGCGGGATGTGGTGGCCTGTCTCTTGGAGGACCAAGAGATGAGGTTGTCGCCGAGAAAAACACAATAACCAGAGGTGGAGCGACGAGTGTCAGGACATCCCGCCCAATCAGCATCAGAGTATGCCTGTAGCGAATCTGTGCGTGTGCCATGAAGAGTAATCCCATGAGTGGTGGTGCCATTTAAGTAGCGAAGAACACGCTTCATGGCGGTGAGATGAGTGCTGCGGGGAGCATGAAGATGGAGACATAGCTGCTGGACAGCATAGGTGAGATCCGGCCGTGTGAAAGTAAGGTACTGTAATGCTCCAACAACGGACCTGTATAAGGTGGGATCGGAAAGTGGTGTGCCAGAGGAATGGGTTGGGCCGTGGGGTTGACGGATGAGGGAGTATGTTGGGCCGTGGGTTGGGACGAGTGGGGTTGGGCCGTGG